ATTAAGTAGATATCAATGAATGCATGACTACCATATCTTTACATGCTTGTCTGTTTACCATATCATTTCGTTCTGCACCTAATTCTAGATCATCTAAGCCTCACGATGCACGTGTCGTAAGTGAAATCGATTCACCGGACCGCTGTCGCTGATGAAAGGAGTCCGAATGATCTTAACGATTTCTGGGTGTACATAGAAAAATGCAGACTTCCACATTTCTAATGTATATTCATCGTGCCTGAAAGTCATACGGTTGCATAAATGCATAGGTACTTAGGTCCTTTTTACCCTCAAAGAATCAGCTCATTTTTTTGGCTCAGGTAGTGTGTACCCTCCTTCCTTAGGTTGTAAGTTTGGTTTTTAAGTATTGGCTGTTGTTGCTTCTGTGGGCCTGCGTGATTACCTCGGCTGGCTTTGTGGTTTCACCGGCTTCGCAGAACGGCTGCTCTACAACGGTGCCGCCCTCGGTCACTTACGGGTGCGGTCTTTCTTCGATGAAGCCAACGATGACGCTGTGATCGCCGCTCGTGTCGCGATGAAGTGACTGTGATGATATGTCACGATCGTTCGATAATACATACTTGAAAAAAAATATAAAAAAGAATCGGTTCAGCTCAACAGCTTGCTACATCCAGTCAATATGTACTGTACTGGTGCTAGACGTGAATCATAGAAGACTTGAAGAAAAAGGTTTGCTACCCCTTCACCACCTCTGTCCCAAAAGAGTGCAGACATGCTGCTTACCTTGAGATCTCAGTGTTATTCAAGATACATCGCCTCCTAAAATATGAAAGCTGGCTTTGTCTTGGCTGTCATGTTTAAGCACTTTGGCTTGTGGTTTGAAGAAATGCTGAGCCATTTAACAAGTAACGGTGAACCGTTTCAAGGATTATAATTGCTTTGTTAGACATCAACATGTCATATGTATTGGATAATTCGAGTTGAAGCTCACTTACAACGTTAACGTCACACCATTGGTGGAGCAAGATGTGCTATTTTTACAGTTAACTATTGTACTGAAGAAGGGTAACATTTTGTGAGTTATACCATGACTTATTTAGCATATCAGATATGGTCAAGAATTCCAGTTACACTCTGATCACACAGTTTGATTACACTTATAAGGCCGACGACTTTGGATGCCCTGGTCTAGCGTTTCGTTTCCTCTAATTCCCTAATATCTCTGTCATTCGACGGTGCAAAACGTAACAGCTGTTTAAATCCTTGCACGCTACAATAAGTAACACGACGATGTGCATCTCCAAGGTGCGATACTGCCGACTGAATCGTCCGGTCGACAGAATATCGCTCGCAGCGAAGGTCAACGGGGACTGACAGTCGTGTTGGACGTTGTTGTCCACGGCCTGTTGCACAGTTATTTTTGTGGTTGGTACTGTGTGCCCGCAGAGGACAGGTGGAGCAACGCGACGCCCCATGATCAGATGGTCACCCCGTGTTGGCTGTATACAATGGAACAGCACAGCAATCCACTTCAACAATGCAACACTGCGTGCTTCTGTGCAATCTTCGCAATCTGTATCATTCGAACAGCGCCAAACAGTGATTTGGTAATGCTGAACAGTTCACGCAGCCTAGTTTGCGTATTTAATCACTGCTCCGCGGTCGGTCGGCACCAGTGTTTCGACGTCGGTCACAGCACAGTCATGGCCCCGGCATCCGCAGCTCTCTGTCTGGCCCTCCTCGGCCTGGCGGCGGCCGGTGGACCTCTCCGCAGCTTCCATGAGGCTGCCGGCTACGGCGCACCCAAACTGAAGAAGGACTACGTCCCGACGTACCGGAATGCCGGCGGGTACGGCGGCCGGCAGTCCCGGTCAGGATACGGCACGCCGAAACCCATCACTGGCTACGGCGCACCCAAAGTCGAGACGCTGCTGTATAAGGCGCCGAATGACAAGTATGGTGTCCCAAAACTCTCCAAGGACTATGGCGTCCCCGAGGTTACGAAGGGGTACGATGCGCCCAAAGTCAAGAGCGGCTACGGTGCTCCCAAGCTCTCGGATGTGTATGAAGCTCCGAAGCTCACCACCACTGATTTCAAGGCTCTCCACGGCGGCAGTGACTTCAGTTCTGGCAGTGACTTCAATGACTTCAGTGACTTCAGCTCCGGCAAAGACTTCAGTTCCGGCAAAGACTTTAGTTCTGGCAGTGACTTCAGTGACTTCAGCTCCGGCAAAGACTTCAGTGACTTCAGTTCCAGCAGTGGCTTCAGCGACTTCAGCTCCGGCAAAGACTTTAGTTCGGGCAGTGACTTCAGTGGCTTCAGTTCCGGCAAAGACTTTAGTTCCGGCAGTGACTTCAGTGACTTCAGTTCTAGCAGTGGCTTCAGTGACTTCAGCTCCGGCAAAGACTTCAGTTCCCCCGCGGCGAAGTTCGGAATAACTACTGGCGGCTTCGTACCATCTGTGTCGTTTGGCAAGGTTTCTAAGACGCTCTCTACTCCCCTTGGAAGAGAGCGAGCCACCAAGAGTGACGGTCTGTACCTGTCCTGGGAGAACCCGCGTCACAGCGGCGGCCAGTACACGTGGGACCAGGCGGCCGGCGAGTGTCGCCAGCTCGGACTGAGGCTCGTCTCGCTCACCTCGCCGCAGAAGGAGCAGGAGATCAACCGCCGACTGCCCAGGGGCGGACGCAAGGTCGAGTTCTACTGGACGTCCGGACAGCGCCTCAGCGAGGGAGGACAGTTCGTGTGGAACGACGGGGCCCGCACCCCCGTCTGCAACCGGGGCCAGGGCTGCTACGAAAACTGGGGACCCACCGGAGGCGCCGGCCGGCCCCAGCCCGACAACCGCGAGGGTCGTGAGAACTGCCTGGCGGTGCTCAACGAATTCTACCCGGGAGAAGGCATCGTCTGGCACGACATTGCCTGCCACCACCGCAAGCACTTCATTTGCGAGAAATAAGTGTTTTTAATTTGACAAGGCTGTGACGCCCGAAGACAAGGTTCCTGGGTCCTACTCAATGTCAACATGCCACAACGCCAATGTCTTTCGTGTGTTCTTGCCTACTGAATGCCAGCGCCACCACCGCAGGCCAGGTTCATTGGAATCTGAAATGTCAACACATTCATGTCCGTCTGTATTATGACAATGAACAGGGGCCTGGAATGACAACTTTTGTAAATTTCGTTTTGACCTTTTGCATCGTTTTTCTGCAATGCCGGCCTTTATACGATGTGGTGGATCTTTGTCATCCGTCGCACTGATCATTTGTTGAATTGTTAAATCGAATAATAAAGGCCACTTGCTCCAAAGATGCTCGTGTCACGAATATGAATTTAAGCAGTTATTAGTCCCCATCTGTTGATTTTTGAGTTTGCCATTGTGTGAAATTCAATTGTTAAGTGCAACGTTTTCCTGTCAATAGCTGTCCTCATTAGCACCATTGAGAGATCATTCTTTCTCAAAAGCTGTGTCCGCTTTTGGTTCCGTATGACTCGACATCGACGTGCAATAAATTTGGATGTGAATGCGATATCATATTTCACTCACATCAGCCATCTCTGCGGTAAACGTTTTACCGGCATAGTGTAAATGGTTTTACTTTATTCAGCTACATACCTACCAGTTTTCGGAAAAATGGACGCTAGCTTTTCGCTGCTGCGATACATCTCCGGCCTTCCAAATGCCTGAAACATAACGAAATTCTGCCTCACCAGACCGAAAAAATGTAGCGACTAGATGATTGACCCGTCTTCTGAAGTCGTGGGTTTATGGGTCTTCATTTGGGCAGAAGCCGTGCTATTTAGGTACATACAGCAAGCAACTGGGAAGAATATCTTTTTGTTCGTAGTGGTGTGGATGTCCCCTATTAGGTAACCGAAAAATATCAGATGTTTATTTGAAGCGCATGGGTATGATTGATCAGACAGCTGAGGAATATACCTATATACCTACGTTTTTTAAGGAATGTCAGGCAATGTGTGCAGTGTGCACTGTGCAGGATGAGGCTGCCTCCCATTGGGTTCCAATATTATTTACGGTGATCCCGTTTTATGGTTGTCTAGTCGGTTCCCACGCCTGTACAGTCACCACCAGGAAAGTCTCGTTGCAAACAAAATGGAATTCATGAGCTTTGATAAAAAGTGTTACTGCTTGATTGCATGGCCTAAAAATAAAAACATATTTCACAAATGCCAATAGATGCTAAACGCTTTAAACATGCGTTTTTGTATACCCTGGTACAGTGAAACTGCTTTTGCGCGCCAAGGTCAGATACGGACGGCGTAGCTAGCAGTGAACTATTTAAAGCTCGTTGCCGAAGTCGTGACTGTCAAAGAGATATGAAGTATTCAATTCGTGGAAACGAAAGCTCCCTTTTTTATGACCATCACAATGAGAACGATTGGGTAAAGCGCTTTCCAAGAATGTCACGGCCACGGAAGAAGTGATCATTCCCAGAAAATGTCTGCGTCATTTGTGCTATGATCCTTTGTTCTCAATCAAACCCTTGATGTGTGGCGTAGCGGTTCGTAGTGCATTCTTCCCCGTTTGTCGGCTTTGCTGGCCGCTGTCGCTGCAGCTGTGTGTGGCCGCGTCCTCCAACCAGTTTTTGATTCGTCAGTTTGGCAGGCGGGAGTCACATAGAATTAACGGTACACCTCGCTTTAGAATATTCCCAATGAAATGAACCATCAAAATATGTGGAGCTGAAACGTTGGATGATTTATATCTTATTATATCGACATAAATGTGACATTCGATTCGTCCACATTGAAACGCAGCAAACGAACCGAAACCTGTTTTTGTACAAGATCTTCGGACTGAGCACAGAAATAATTTCAATGTCACGACTGTGTCTTTAAATCTGCATGATTCACTAAGTCCGTGTTGTTCAGATTACACACTTTAAAAACCGTAATCTTGAGCAAGTGGCGTGAACAAATGGCGTCAACTGTGTTCCCGTTGCACCCTGGTCGCAGATGGTCATATTTCACTCCCTCATATTTCTACATCACTCTTGCCCTCTCTGTCTCTCTGCAGGTTCCGTCTGGCTGATAGAAGCAAGTCTTCTGTACTGTCAGAGCCAGCCGACCGACCCGCCTTCGTTCGTCACTTGCTCTCCTCCCGGTTCATCCCTTGTGACCGGGAGAGGGCACACCAGTTCCACGTAACTGAGGGACGAGACGCGTCCGCAGACGCCGAGCGGTTCCGACACCGTGCCTGGCGTCTGCTGGCCGCTGCTGCAGCCGCTCTGGACGAGCTCGAGGCGCCCTTCTGGCTCAGCAGTGGGACTTGTCTAGGTGAGTTAGTTTAGGAGTGGGATTTGTATAGAGCAGTAAAGTCAACTTGGGGCAGCATTTGTCTAGCTCAGTAGCATTTGTCAGCTCAGTAGTAACACTTTTTAGGTGAGTCGTTTCAGCAGTGGGACCTGTCTAGTGGCTATAGGTACTACAATTGAGTCAGCTCATCGTGTATGGGTGACATCCAGGGCTGCGGAGTCGATGGATTTTCGGCGACTCCGACTCCGACTCCGACTCCGGCTTTCAAAAACCAGCTCCGACTCCGACTCCGACTCCGGGCAGAATTGTCGACTCCGACCGACTCCAACTCCCGACTCCGACTCCGCAGACCTAGCAGGGCTGCGGAGTCGACAGATTTTCGATGACTCCGACTTCGACTCCGGCTCGGGTTTCTAAAATCGAATCCGACTCCGACTCCGACTCCGGTCACAACTGTCGACTCCGACCGACTCCAACTCCGACTCCGACTCCGACTCCGCAGCCCTGGCACTGACATCACCAGACACTGGAACCTGTCTAGGTGAGTCAGCTCGACAATGACTATGTCTAAACTAGACATTGGCGGTGACTCAATGGCACCAATCGTGACAGACATCTGCCCGCGACCGGTAGTGGGAAAATGAATGGAAAATATCGTTCGAATCGTTCGATAGCATGCGACTGCCAGGTATTTCCTCCAGTCATCCAAATTTATGAATGAGGTAATGCGGCTGTTCCCCAGATCAGGCGAACCATTTTCCTTAAAAACGTCATTGTGCAGCAATGTGTACTCTAGGTTTCATCACCCCTACCAAAACTTTTCCAAAACAATGCAGACGGACTTCATATCAAATGCAGCACCGAGCCTACACCGTTCTTGGGCCTTTGTGTAGGCGAAGCGGCATTGTAAGGCTTGTGCATTGTAATCATTTAGTAAGACAGGGACGATGATTATTGCAAAGTCAGGGTGGAGCCGACCAAGAGCCGACATTGTTCGCAATGTTGGGATTTCCAGCGTTTGCTGCATGCATGTTGCTCTGGTTGATAATAAAACGATTGCGGGCTGTGACTAGTTTCTTTCGGGGTGGTCGTTAGTCGTTAGGTACTGGTTGTTGTCAGTTCAGGATGCCAAGGCTTACATTATTGATATGGCCTGTGATAAGCGTCATTTCCATTCTAAGTCAGTAGCGCGCCTGGATGCCATATTCATATGCGCCCGTGTAAGCTATAACAGTCGATCAAGAACTGCATTGGCTCTACTCCTTGATAGGATATCACTTTCTGCATAAACACTCATGCACCCTATTATCCGCTTTACCATCTGAACAAGCATAGGCAAATTAATCTCGGATAGGGGAAATGGATTCGGATGCTACCTACTCACAGATCCTTTTTGTTTGGGGAATATTATAAAACAACTATAATACCACTACGCAGGACACAAGCTGTGTTCATTGTAAATCACGCTAACTTGCACTGGTGGCGTGCATTTTCAATTCTCAGCTCTTTCATCGACAACGCCGTTGCCTTTCATTTCAACCGGTATCGCCTGCTGTCTACACACACCGGCCCACGTCACTGACCCCTTCCCCCTCCCCTTCTGTCCACCAGGCTACTACCGGCAGTGCGACTTTGTGCCTTACATGGGGGACGTGGACATCGGCGTACGGATCGACTCTGTCAGCGACTGGGCCGGGGATGCCAGACTGCCGAGCCTCGCACAGATTGTCGAGGCGATGGCCGAGCGGCGTCTGCGCCTGGTACACCGGTTCGGACTGCCTGAAGACAGTCTGGAGCTGAGTTTCCGGTCGCCGGATAACATCAAGCTGGATATCTTCTTCTTCTATGAGGAGGGGGACATCCTGTGGAACGGTGGAACGCAGGCTCGAACTGGCAAAAAGTTCAGGTGGGTTAGTGGACTGAATTGACATGAAGTAAATTTGAGTCTTCGTGACTGGACTAGGTCCGAATTGCCAGTGAGTTTGGGTTGATGGGGCTTAGTACAATCACGAGTTGTCGGAAAATAAAGATAAGCTTTGAGGTCCGAACTTGCAGGGAATTCAGGTGGCGTTATGTAGTTATATACGCCCAGTTTCGTCTCATGTCTTTCTATTCATAGGTCTGATTTCATCTTCCGGTGCAGCCGTTAGAGCTATTCTTAGAGTTCGTGAGACCCCTGCCAAGGTTAAATGATAAGATGATTTGTCGTGAACCGTACAGTGTTAACTGTTAATGCGTTAATTATTCCGGCTCATTATCATTAAGCCTGCCTTTGCTCTAAAACTCTGCTCATGTTTTATTCACATTATCCGCTTTCACATTGTCTGTTGTTTGGCGTCTTCTCCCCAAAATCTGGTGACAACATAAAAAGAAACAATGTAAGCTTTCGTAGAAGGATTTAAATTCATGTCAGGGAAACAATGTAAACAAACTGATTTAATGTAAAATGACGATCCGGAACATCGTTCGATGTTTACTAAGATAATTGTAATTTAAATAAAGCGTTTTACAGTTTGTTCCCTTTGAACCCGTCTCCTATTATGTGTTGCTCATACCTAAAGTGTCTAAAATCTCTAGATTGTTTTAGAGTATGTCAGCAAACTAGCTTTTGTTTATATCGATTTTCCTGCTTACAAACAATTACGAAACGCCTTGAAACCAGCAGCCCGTTATTCTAGCCATGTTGTCGCCGCACCTCTAACCGCCCTCGCCGTCCCCAGGTACGACTTTGCCGCGTTCGAGCTGTGTTGGACCGAGTTTCGAGAGCTGCGAGTTCGCGTCCCGTGCGACACCGAGCGCTACCTGATCTCTAACTACGGGCCAGAGTGGCGCGTGCCACAACCCGTCTGGGATTGGAAAAGCAGCCCGCCCAATGTGCGCGAAAACGGCTACTGGACGCCAGAACAGATGGATGAAGCTGTGCAGTTGTTGGAGCCGTGAACCGTGCCGTTGTTGGAATCGTGATCTGTGCAGCTGATAAGACAGTTGGTGGTTTTCCAGTTTCGGTTTGAGGGGACCTGTGATGAGTCGTATCGACTCTGTATAAAGAAGTGGGATTGATGCTGGGCTGTGATGCTCTGTACAGTCTGTCTTAAAAGTACCGCGCAAAGTGACGGTGGATCCATCAAGCCTGACCGAGGAAGGGCCTGCTAAAATTTGAAAGTCACCGAACCAATGGAGCTGGGGAATGGACGAGGATGTCCATTGCTTCGGTGACTCAAATTTGGCAGTCCTTCATCGGTCAGGCTTGATGGATCCACCGTCACTTTGCGCGGTACTTTTAAGACAGACTGTAGGGCGATTAGACAAAGCAGTGTAGTCTCATGAAGCAATGAAGCCAGGGAATTATCGTGTCATGCGTTATAGTGTCGAATTGATTAGTTTTGATAGTGTGATGGCTCAGTTGTGATAGTGTGAGTGGGATAACATTGCACGTAATTAGCATGCTGGATAATGAAAAGCAGGGCCCTGTTTTTAGCCATCTTGTCATAAATCTTTGTACGACGATGTCCCCTTTCCCAAGTCGAGATCTGTGACGATGAGACTAGCTCGTGTCATGTTCTGGAGATTGGATCCCGAAACCTTTGACGTTTTGTCGGGCTGGTGGAGTGACAATGTATTTTTTGAAGAAACGTGGTTTGATGTGTCGTCAGCGATGAATTACATAATGTTTTGCAAGTGTAATGTCGACTGATGATAAGAGATCACCTTTTGTTATGAAATATTCGTGTGCATGTCATACATATTAGATAGCTTGCGAAATGAGTTCGCCTAATGCAACATTCACTGCAAATATATCATTGTTTAGTATCTACGCTGCCTTTTTGTTAATGATTGATCACACATTGCATTTTGTTTAGCCCCAAATATTCAGAGTTGGTAGGTAACTTGTGCATGGTCAACCGACAAAATATGCCACCTAGCGGCCGTTCGCTTTCTCATTTGGTCTCAGATCAGTCATCCAATCGCGACATCCTAAACACAAACCCATACATTCGGTAGTATATTTGACCAGATGGATATGAATCAAAACCAAACCGATAACGCGAAACACACAACCCAGACACGCTAACTCGGACACCACATAATATAACATTGGTGCCTGTATAGTTTGGCGACGCGACCAGAATCGGCCCGCTTTGACTAGTATAATGTGAGCAGCCAGGACCACTGTCGTGTACTGACTAGAGAGTGGAGGTGGTACATAAACCCATGCACGCGCGCGTGGGGGAGCGGGAGGCCACAGCTCCGCGCCGGGCCAGCCGTGTTACAAATCTGGCGCATGCAGACGGAGACTACGGAGGCGACGTGAGACGATTCGGGAATCAGACTCGGCAAGACGTCGGCGTAGCTGACAAGACGAGCAGCTTGGTCATCGTAAAAATCGACCGGACAAGCGTGCACACATCCGTGGTGTCATGACATACTCGTACAATATGGCAACATCAGACCATACAATGTCATTGACCAGTTACGGAAACGTCACGCACCGAAGCATAATTGTGCATCGGAGCATCGATCTCATATTCACATCGCCATTTAAGGTGGGATAACATCAATAACAGATTGCGGTGGTGATTATGTCTTGGCTCAAAGACCATTGCACGGTGCGGTCAAATACCGGCTTATTGAGAGTACACCATTATCATTGAGTACACCGGCTTAGAAATAGACAGTGAGGCATTTGGTATACAAGCTTTTGCTGGCTATCAAGAATAACTAAACGTAGCATTAACTAATGACAAACTCATTATCGGCCATCATATCACTGGCGATACAACGGGCTTGCCGCTTAACGTCAGAATCGGGAAATGTCTTATTGCTTAACAAGAAAGCAACACATTCGCGGCTCGCTGCAATTAACGGGTTCAAATGCCTGTTGAGTAAGCGTCAGGAGCGAGATGCTCCTGCCTCTTACTCAACAGGGGAGCGGAGGAAATGGGTCCTTAGCTTGGAATGAAATGTTTTAACATGATTGGATATCCTGGTCGCTATAACTGTTATTATATTAAGGTCATGTTATGAGACTGACGCATGGAAATTGGAATCGACGATTATACAAGAAGCTTAGAGTAGGAAATGTAACATATACGAAGCTTAAAGAGTGAGGAAGCTTTAATGTCTAAAATTTATCTGCAAATGGCCCAATCAAGCTATATGCAACGTCAATCTCATGCGTACCTGACTTGTAAATAGTAAATACAACTTGCTGTATAACATCTAGCCAGAGATGCAACAGTCTTACCCGACATACAAACTCGGTTTCACTGTCTGAACAATAGATGTCGCCTTGAGAGCCGTGCCGCGTTGGTGGATAAATGCCGCTCAACAGTCCATCACTAAATTACTCAACGTTAATCAGTGTCACTTACAAATACGTACTGGACTAATGAGCTTACCGCCTAGACCCTCCAGCGGCGAATGCTCGCTTCTCCAGACAAATTCACACCGACCAGAGATCCCCATCGGTCCGATACTGTGACATGGACCTCGGCACACAAGGACCCGAACACCGGCACCGAACACACAACACCTTTGGTATACCTCCACCACCAACATACGTCGACCAAACGGGGCCGGCAACCTTATCACGAACGCGCGGGGAGACCAAAGTATTGTGGTTCAGTAAGTGTCTCCACTCGTATCCGCCGCCCCGCCACCTGGCTTCGGTCATCGACTGAGCGACTGAGGAGGAGCCGCAAAATGCCCCAGCAGCGCTACGGCAGACAGGTCGGAGAGAGGGAAGGCTAGGGCGGAGAGCGTGAGCGTGACCCTGCGAGTCACACGATTCTTGGCGGCTGATCGGCTCGCAACAAATCAGTCTCTGGCGACTTAACGTCACAATGCCTAAATGACTAAGTTGTTCCGTTCTCAGCTGTTATTCCCTGACTGAGTGGCAGGGCCGATTATGAAACTAGCTCCCACCTTCCTCCTAACTACACCAAACCAGCGTATGAAGCGGCATCCGATTCCCACTGTCGCCGAAGCTATCCGATGTCATACGGATTATAATTACACGGAGAACAATCGTACGGACCAGATCCATACAAGCAAGATCCGTACACTCCGGAGCCATACAGACTTACCGAACCGTGTGAGCCTTTTCATACATTCTGGAGCCATACGGATAAGTGTCGAACAAATAGGATCCGTACAGCCAAGATCCGCAGTCAGCCGTGCGAGCCAGTCGCACGGATCTGTAGCCGTAGCCTGCCTACTTGCCGGTGAAGTCTGGCCAGTACTTGACGTGGTAGCGGACCGTCTGCCCCTCGAAGAGTCGATCCAGCCAGCCGCCCAGGCCGTCCAGCAGGTGCTCCTCGAACAGTACCTCGTCACTGAGAGCCGCCCGGGCAGTCTGTCGGTAGACGGGCATCCATAGGTTAATCACAGGGAGGATGAAGCCTCTCTCCGCTTCCCGTGTACCTCCCAGACGCTGATGGAACATCCTCCATTTTAACTGATTGCCTCCATTTTAACTGATTGCTGATAGCAGCTGGTGCGCCCTGTCACTCCAAATCATCATCATAACTGATTGCTGATTAAATTGTCTGGAAATATTGTGGACAGATTTGGTTCAATGTGTCTATTTATCAAAGGGCGTAAGCGGGTGCAAAAAGGCACAAGACAAATTTAAGGATGACAAGTCAATGGGTGTTTATGAGATTTGAAGACGACACATGATTCAACAGGGCACTTCAATTCCCAAGGGACGTCGCACTGCTTTACTCTCAAGTTCCACCTACCCTGCAATCTAAACATATCAGTCAACTATGAAATTGTCGCCTCAATACGCCTCAATGATACCCCATCCTCTCTCCTCACCCTATGCTCTCTCTTTTCTCCCGTCTCCACGTCCGAGCTGCTGCTGTCGTCCTCATCAAAGCCGAGAAACTCCCCGCCGCCGGTGGCGCCCCCTTTGGCCGTGCGGCGCCGGCGAGCGCCCGCCTTTCCGCCCACCTCAGCGTGCTTGGCGTGATACATGCCTGCAGACACGTCCCGGGGAGGGGGGGGGGGATTCAGTACAGTCTGTCAGCTGGGAGTGGAGTGGGGATACAGTGTGACAGGTCACGGTAGATACTTGGATAAAAGGGTGTACTCCCGGCACGGCACGGCGGGCTTCACTGAGGTCTCATCAGAGCGTAATGTGAGCAGCAAAACTTTACCATGGCTGATGAGAAAGGTTAGCTGCGTTTCTCATTAAAACTTTAACAGGCAAGGAAGTTTCCATAAAAAATTTAAGTGAAAGGTAATAGAGGTAGGTCTATACCAAAGTCATCTACATTTTGCCAAACTCGTAATGTTTTAGCAAACTTCAGCACAGGGGGCAAAATATTTAATTGAAATGATAGCACTGATAAAACTTGAGTTCAAATAAATCTACCGTGGTGTGACGATCCTAAGATCAATAAGCTCCCATAAATATTTCCCATCGCCTTTTCCCCAGTTGTTCTACCTTCAACAACTCATAAGCCCGATTATGTAGCGATCGGCAGACCGACTTATGCAGAGAGCTATTCTAAGTGGGTCTGATCCTGTCCGCTTATGTATCGAGAACTCTCCATGTCAGCGTCAGTACTCACAGAAGTACTTGCGGTAGCCGTTGATGCTGAGCACGGTGCCGATGCAGTTTTTCGGGTTGATGTTGAGCTGTTGGTTGTCCGGTAGGCTGGGCATCAGCAGACGCCGGTACCACTCCAGTCCGCGCTCCAGTACCACGAACGCGAACATCAGCGACTTGTTCCTGCAGTAAAGGACATCGGACGTAGTTCAACACACGCACGCACGAAATGCAGCGAACAGCTCGAATAGATCCGTCATTGTGACTTCGAACATATTTATATAGACGTCTCCACAATGGCCTAAATGTGTCCATGAGGATATGGCAGAACTAGGCAGATAGGCATGTTGTTGATACAAAAACAAAACAAAAACAAATTTACCCCTTCCTCCTTCGTGCAATTCATTTAGCTCCGCGACCCGTCCATCGCAATACCCCCTTCCACCCTCGTCCCTCTGCCTGTCTTTCAGCACACTCGCTCTCCCTCCATCCAACCCCCAGCGACGCCCTCACCCAAACTCACTTCCTGTAGGGCCAGACGATGCGGTGGAAGCGCGCCAGCAGGTTGGCCTTGCTGTCGGCATCCACCAGCAGTACGATGGTGCGGCAGCCGGGCTTCAGCAGGCGCACCAGGCCGTTGTACGTCTCCACGCGCATCTCATGGACCCGCAGCTGAGCGGTGCCCGTGCCAGACCGGGTGGGCGGGGTGCGCCCCTCGGCTCGGTACCGGCTCTGGATGGACTCCTCCTCCATCTTACTGCAGAGGGAGAGAAGCCGAGCACGGGGGGTTGAGATGGGGTGGGCGAGAGGGGATTGTGTTAGTGTGGGGTGATAGTAGAAATGGGCATTGGACACCCCGCTCAAACAAGTACGAAACAACATACGAAACATGTAGAAACACAAACGAACACAACTGGTAGTCATGGAGGTTTTCTCTGACCAGGTGTCAACGAAGCAGTCATTAAGATACACAGAGGGTATACAATACATATCTAGGTTTTGGATCTGGTGGCGAATTCCGTAAGCTGCATAACTAATGCCAAAACGTGTTGTTTTGTTTTCCAATAAACTTGTTTAGTGCTAATACAACAGTACATTACCATTTACTCTACGATTGTACTTTTTGCAAGAATCCACGAGAAATACTTCCTTCCCCTTCCGAGTCAATATTGCCCAGCCTGAAAACGGTGACGAGAACCCCCACCCACCCCACCCCCCCGCCCTCCCATTCCACTCACACCAGGTAGGCCATGAGGTATCCCCCAGCGATGAGAAAGACGATGGTGGCCACGACGGAGACGGCCGGTACCACCTCGTCGCGGCTGAGCCGGTCCAGCACGTACTCCCACAGGTGGTACAGCCGGCTGGCGATCCGGCGCAGCAGCGGGTGCGCGTGCTCGTCCACCAGCTCCTGAAAACAGTCAGGGGGCATGGTAAGGTAAGTACAGGGTGTAACGAAATTATCCAGACAACTATTTTTTTGCCATATCTGCTCGCACAGTTTCTCTTTTAATGTCAGAAGTTGGAAAATTGGATGAATGCATACCTCTGGTATCTGCTCTCAACTCAGCAGTGACCTGACCTTGCGAAATGACTCTTGCTCTGAGTAAGAATCGAGTCGCCGACGGGTTCATTTGATAGTTTTCGTTTAAGGCAGTGGAGAGAAAGGAGTACAGTCTCTCGTTTCGTAGTAAGGCTACGTGTTGGTGGCATGGTGGCATGAGCCAGACGCTGGTCTGTCAGCAGCTGGACATCAGCAGCAGCCATATAGGACATCTGCCTGAGGCGTAATAAGCTGGGACTTGGTGGCAGACTCAGCCCGGCCTCGATCGCAAAAGGCGCCCTTTGCCAAGTGGTGAGGAGAGTTGTCAAGATAGCGACAAGGAAACGGCACCAATTAATCCGCATACTGACTCGAATTCTTACCAAGGCAGATAATAAGAGGTCCCACATCATGATTCACCGTTACCCGCCCTTTAGCTTGGTTTTACTGCCCTTCAAACTGGAAAAGACAATGAAATTGACGGGAAAACAACCAGTCCACCATATTTGGCTTCAGGCCAGGGCGTGTCCACTGGTCGAAGGAAGACACGAATGAGGTGACCTGGTCGGATGGGAAGCTGTTCGAGCTGCGATACCCGTTGAACCGTCAAATCGGCCATGTGTGGGCTGCCAGCAGCTCGAATGTGCCGGCCGTCGCCGGCGTCAAACATCCGGCCAAAATCCAGACCTGGAGCATGTTCAGCTGCTGTGTAATATTCAAGCTGTTCATGACGACACAGAAAACCACTATCAGTGACGAGTATTACCGGCGCAACATCCTGGCTAGCGATTGGTTGGAGCCACTCAACCAGACGGCACAGGATGGCTCGGTTTCTGAACGTGTACCGATGCCTGATTCAAGCCGCGCAGTCTTCATACGGGGCGGCGCACCATCTTCAAGTCCCTAGCAGAATGAGAAGTGATGCCGAGAGGACCTTTTTGTTCTTCAGGGCTAAAGGGCTATGGCTTGGAAATAGTTCCCATACAATTCCATCGATATATTATGGACTATTGTCCATCAGGAGATGAATGAGGGGACACCCGCCACCAGCGCCGCCCAACTGCGGGCACAGGTTAGTAAGGCGCTACTCTATATGAAACCCACTGTGCTGGAAAATCCAGTGGCTGGAATGCTCCAAAAATGTGTACCTGCGCCCATGTGAAAGGTGGCTATATAATAATTCAAAAGGGAAAATATCAGAATGTCTTGCTTCTTAATTACAGCGCGAAGAAAGATGTCCGGATAATTTCGTTACACCCTGTAGAGGTCACATAAAGGTCAACCGGTCAGCAAGGGGTTACAGAAGGGTCAGCGGGGTTCAAGGATAGGTTAGAAAGGGGCCACGGGAGGGTCAGTGGTGCCTTTAGTAAGGCCGTAAGGGCCACAGAAAGATTAATACGACACAGATATAAAAGTACTGCAAGGTCAATAAGAGAGTGGCAAGGTCAACAGGGATATGGATAAGAAAGGATATGATCTGAATTGCGAGACTCATCAACAACCAGTTAACAAGGCAAGAAATGAAGGCAACTTAGCAGTCCGCCTGGCTATGCAATAATATACAAAATAACCCCGTGAAAGACGAATCATAGAGCCCTTGGTAAGACCAGCAACCGTAACTTCTTAATTTCTTACACTGGTTGTACGAGCACGCATGAAAAGAATGCGCGTTGAGCAACGCCGGCAGCTGTTACGTCCCATAACTATCGATTTAAACTGCTGTTGTGTCCAATGGCCAAGTCGTGCTCGTGTTTGGGGAGACAAGAGGACTTAATAATTTCGACTGTTACCTACGTCTCCATCTCGCACCGAATGTATATTTCAATTAGAAGTTAGCAGTTCAAACCAATAACCATCACTGATATTTCTTAATCAAGTGAGCGCCGGCTAGAGCGCATAGGTGCGCCGTGCAATACAGTACATTGAAGTGGCTAGCAAGAAATGTAACGACATCCACTTATGTTCTGAAAATGAGATGCGTCGAAACCATCACTCACGCACTTGCCTAAGGGAACATAGCACAAAGGGTCACGTTTTTACAAAGTCACAAAGTAGCTGTAATCACGGGTAACAAATCGTACAAAACATGACAAGTTACGCAACATCACCAATCATCCTTACTAATCGACGCCGAAGCGACTCACCCTTCAGTTTTATATCTCCCGTGTTCCCTTTCAAAGCCGCAGGTCACTGGAACGCGACCATAAACGCTTCAGTTGCCCTGGGGCTACTGCAGTCGACTCGGCCCTACGAATGCTTCAGGACACATCAGGCATGTGCGCATACCAGTTACGCAACGCACACACTATCGCAGATGAGATGCAGAACTGAGAGTCCCGACTGGCTCCAAGCTTCATTCCTTTGCTAGAAACTGTGGTGTACAGTGCATAGTTACTTTTACTTTCGATGAACGATTGGCGAAGTGAATCTTCCCATGCAAAGCGTTCTATCTCGGTGACAAGGACGTTGTCAAACGTAAATACGAATGGACCGTCCAGAATTAACGTCGAGTTACGGTCAGCACATGAATGCACCTTAGTTTTATATCTTGTAGCTTGTAAATATTGCAATATGGCCTGGTTATGTTAATGCCTATACAATGTAGCAAATGTCACGTAATTCAAGGACCACGAAACAGTCCATTTATGAAGAGCATTCGAGTTAGATGGGACCAGCCGCAAAGACTAAGTATGTACTTATTCCCTGGCAGAAAGGGCAAAGTAAGAGGTGCGAGAACATGAGTACATATAGCTTACGCGCGTCAAAGTAAAAACGCGCGTGTCAGTGACCTCTCAAGTCCCTGACGTCAACCGTTCTTCGCATAACCGACACTCACAGGTTCACAATATGCCATCCAGCCCCGTCCTTCGTCGCGGGCGTTCATGGCTAACAGTGAGCCCCGGTCGGGTGACGGGTTCCATCTGACCCTCCGCCGTCTGCCGCTAGTATATCACCGTTCTGCCGTCTCGAGAGCACCACCGGAGTCCGCCGAGCGGCTTGGAGGACTCCGAGAGCACCACTCGATTCGCCCTGATCCGGAGTCGGCCCATCGAGAGGTCGACTATTGGAGTCGCAGTCCGCCCACCGGCCTCTCTACAGGCTCTCGGCTCCAGGAAGGACCGCAGGTGGTGGCCAAACCTGCGTCACAGCCGCGGTGGAACAAACGCGACGCCCACGGCTGCCAGGAAGCGGCATGAGGATATTTTTGGAGCGACTCGCGACTGCTATTTATTAGCTTGTTGAGAACAACAGACGGGTATAGATTTTCAAGAGGCTATACAGGATAATGAGATCTCATGCAAGTTGTTGCATACCTTACAGGCAAGTCTTCAGTTAGGAGAGTCGGTTATAAGAAGGGTCTGATGCTTGGAGAGATTGGGAAGATGAGTGCTGACCACAGGGACAAAGGATCATGTGGACAGGAGCCAGCAGTCTTTGGTCTAAATCAACGCGTGCAGCCCACTAAGCCAGCACGTAGAAATACTGTCAGATTCAGCGGTATCGTTGCCAGCTAGCTACCTAGTCCAGTTGGTGTCTGAGCCAGCGATGTTACCCAAACCATCGTGTGCTGTCTGTTAGTACCAGCCGCGCCAGCGCATACTGCCTGTCTGGACCAGCAGGTTTACCGGTACTGTCTGCTGTTTGGTCTATAAGGTAGCTGAGCCAGCAGGTGCTGTATGTCTGATCTAGCGAGCGTTTGTGTAAGCCACCTTGTGTCCGTTTGAGCCGCCGAGTTTGACTGAGCCACCCACCGAGGGGTCTGTTTGAGCCTCCGTAGGTTTTCTAAGCCACTGCGGCTTCATCTGAGCCACCAATCGCTGTCTGACCGGGCCTTCTTCCGCAAAATCAAGTAAAGTGGATAGGCACGGGGTGCGTCAAAGGCGGTCGGGCAACTATAGAGCACTCGGCGCTTATAAGAACGCTTCGGGTAGATCGTTATATCAGGCTGGAGAATAGAGGGCAAATATTATATAACCACTTAACCCTCGCATGTGTGCGGCGTTTGCCAGCTTCTAATGTGTAGGGGGGGGGGGGGTCGGTTGGACCCCCCCCCCCCCCCTGCCGTTTGGCCCCTGATCGAGCTAGAGCTTCGCAGAAAAAAACGAGCGTGTTGCGCGTGACGAGAGGAAGCCGATGATACCCAATTTTAAGGTCTTAGGTCACTGGTTGACCTTCCAGGTCAGGTCAATGACCCAAAGTCGGGAAAATCAGGACCTGCTAGAAAGTCGTAAAGTGTGGCTGCTAAGTGGTTTTTCGGGGTGCTGATCACCGAATATCGTGTTGGTTTTGATCACAGACGATGTCTTTAAGCATTTAGATCAGGTCGGATCAGGTCAGATCAGGTCAACCAGTAGGCGTCGTGACGGGTATTCGTAGTACGTGTCAACCGCCTCTGACAGCTTCGTAACATGTTACGAAGTCACCAAAACTACTTCGTAAATGTTCAAATGGTTGCTAAATTCGAATTCAGCTCCAAAAACTAGCCTAGAAACATGTAAAACTCGAAAAAGTGAACCGAGGTCACTGACCGAGGTCAAAGTCAATGACCTGACCTGACCTTCAGGTGACCTTGATATCCACCCTAATGCATGGGAGCAACATCAAATCACACGTTTGAACGTTTGGAACCACGAAAAGCTTGCAAACGCGCGGCTAATGCGAGCCGACATACGCGGAATCGCGATTCCGGCCAAACATGGTCTCCGAAAAGAGGTCACAGGTCAAAGGTCATTTGGGTACCACTGAAAACTTTTTTACCATTTCCTGAAGGGTAAACCCGCCATAGCATGGTAGCTTGACACACAGACGTTTTTTACCACCTTCCAGATGGTAAATTTTACTCTTTCATGAAGAGTAAATTCGCCAGG